GACCTCAGCACAGCAGGAGCGCTTCCGCCGAAAGTTCATGAAAATCCACCTTCCTGGCCCCTCATCGCTGGGTCCCTGTTCAGAGCCCCACCCAGGCTGATGGGAAGTGTTCCCTTTCTGCTCCATCTGTGTCCCAACCCGGGCATCACAAACCCTGACATTCCATTCCCGCTGCTGGAGCACATAGTGGGGCTTCTGTGTGCCTCGCTGCCCTTGACTGATGGAATCTCAACGGAGGCACCAGTGAGCGCGGGGGGATGTCAAAGGCCTTCGGGATAACATCACAGTCAGCTAGGGATGCAGGAGGCTCCCCTGGTGGGATAGGGGGTGAGCTCAGCAAGCTCCACACCTAACGCAGCAGCACCAGGTCCGAGTCCAGCAAGGCAAGAGCAATAAGTAAAAGCTATGAAAATTCGAAAGAAAATCAAGCTGACTTTCTCCATCAAGGATTGTGTCTATATAGGAAAATCCACGTACATACAGATACATGTAGGGGCTTGAGAAGAGAGTCAGCAAGGTTTCTAGAGACAAAATCAAATTGCAAAACTCAAATGCATCCGTATAGCACAGTGACCAACAAAAAACAGGATGGTATAATAGATGTCATGGACACATCAAAACTTACGATGTTCCTGGAACATTCAGAGATGCACATCACAAATATATGACATGCACGTCCTCAGGGGAGGAAATGGTACATGTGTTTGGGAGGACTTTACAGGTGGAAATAGATAGCCCTGGCCAGATGGCTCTGTTGGTGGAAGCATCCTCCCTACAGCACATTGGTTGCAGGTTCAATTCCAGGTCAGGGCACATACCTCGTTTCCATACCAGCTCAGAGCATGTATGGGAGGCAACGGATTTATGTTCTCATAAGCATGCCTGTTAATCATTGTCACTTGCTGTACTCCATTGTTCTTTGCTGTGTTCCCCCCCCCCCCAATAAAAGCCAGAAGGGATCAGAGGGTCTTGGCTACACGCCTGAGCGAGCGGTAGCCCTCTGCTCTACTTCATCCTACACGCCAAGCTTGCCTCAGTGTCTCCGTTCACCAAGCAAAACCCCCTCAGGCCTAAGGAGTTCTTTCATGGTTCTGTAGGATTACGGATGTTGCGTCTCTTTTCATGACTTTGTTGGCCATTTGTACATCATCTTTGGAGAAATGTCTAGTCAAGGTTTAGCTCATTCTTCAATTGTGTTATTTGGGTTTCTTATGTTGTCTTGTATGAGTTTGTAATAGATGCTGGATATTAACTCCTTACCAGATACATCTTCTCTCCCATCCTAGAGTCTGGAGTCTGGTGAGAGCGTCCTCTTGTGCTCAGATTTTAAGTTGGTACAGTCCCACTTGTCTATGTTTGCTTTCCTTGTCTGTGCTTTCGATGTAAATACGCAGGAAATCATTGCAAAACCCAATGTGCTGGGTTTTCCCCCTATGTTTCCCTCTGAGAGTTTATAGTGGTTGGTATTATATTTAGATCTTTAATACATTTTTGCAGAGAGGAGAGTGATTCTGTGATGGAAACCCAGAACTGCATGAGAGGAACAACTGTGAGGGGTATTTTTCAAAATAGTCATTGTTTTCCTGCAGTGTGTTCTCACAGTGGGGTCTAAAGACGCTGAACTCACAAAAGAGAGTAGACGGTGATGCAGGGGCTGGGGGTGGGGAAATGGGGAGATGTTGGTCAAGGGTAGCTTTCAGCTACAAGAGGAACAATTCCTGGGGATGTACTGGACAGCATGGCAAGTACAATTAACAGGATTGTATTATGTACCTGAAAGTTGTTATGGTTACACATCATTCGTGTTATAACCATAACAATGGTAATTACATGAGAAGATGGAAATGTTGATGAACCTTATTGTGGTAATCACTTCACTATGTAGGTGCATCAAATATGTACATTGCACACCTTAAACCTGCATATACTCTATATCAAAAATATCTCAATTAATCTGGAAATAAAATAATTGTTTACATCCAAGTAATTATTAATGTTCTCTAAAGTTTATCAAATTTATAGCTGTTAGCTATATGACAATAACGATACAAAATGGTGAGAGTATAGGTGGATGTGTCTTAAATGTTGAAATTTTTTATTATTTAAGAAAAGATATAGTCCAGCCAGTGTGGCTGAGGGGTTAAGCATCAATCTATGAACCAAGAGGTCAGGGTTCGACTCCCGGTCAGGGCACAAGCCTGTGTGAACGGCTTCATCCCCAGTAGGGGACATGGAGGAAACAGGCGATCAATGACTCTCTCATCCTTGATATTTCAATCGTTCTCTCTCCCTCCAAAATCCTATCAGAAATCAATACAAATATTTTTAAAAATAAGAAGAGATATAAATACCAATTGAAGAATAATTACAATGAATACACAAAATCCCTTACTTGAAACAGCTTCAACAACAGCAACAATAAAAAGAGAAGATCAAGATACAATTAGATGCAAGAAACTCCCACCCACACTAAATAGTAAAATCAATTGTCATGTGATATCACAGAAACGTTCTCATTTATGATTAAATGCTGGGATGTGTTATGACAATAATTCTGAGGTTGGCGTCTATGCACAGGGAGAGGAGAGCAGCTGGTAACTCTACTGCGTATCAGCACCTACAGATGGGAGACCAGAAGCTCAGATGGTGACCAGGTAACTTCAGGGCAAGCGGAGGATAAGGGGCCAACTTCAGTCCCTCTCTGGGCCTGAGAATGGAGAGAGAGGAGCATGGGGTGGGGGGATGAGTGGGCAGAACCAACGGAGAGAAAGAAAGAGGCGGGGAGGGGAACAAGTCAAATGGGAGAAGCACAGGCAGAAACAAGGGGCCGTCAGTGGGTGTGGATTATTGTTTATTTCTGTATATTAGGATGTTTTGAGCCATTAAACAGATTGAAAGCCAAGGAGACACCCGGCCTCCCAGGTCCCGCCCATTCTCAGAGACAGCAAAGAATTTCAGATGCAAACCAACCCATCCTGAGCCCCTATTCCCAGACTCCCCACCTGCCCCAAATCACCCAGGACCTGGGACCAGACAAATCGAGACCACGCCCACAGGCCCATCCCCCAGACTGACACACACCAGCTGGTCCTGAACTGCTCACCCTGCCCTGCCTTGCGTTTCCCATGGGAACCCCAATCAAGGCCTTCGCTAGGCTGCCCTGCACCTGCATCTGCTTCCTGAGGAAATCCCGGGCTTCCGGGCACAGCAGCCCCTCCTCTCAGGAGGTGAAAGGAGTAAAAGTCTTCTCTCCATGGCACTGACTCCCCTTGTGGTCACTCAGTCACTTCCACACACTGAAACCCCAGGGGCACATTGGAGGCAGGTGAGTCAAGAGCTTCCAGGGAGAAGGTGACGTTGACGTCCCAGGACGGTCCCTCTAACCTGGTGTCCACACCTCAGTCCCATCTTGAGAGGAAGGGAGGATCCATCAGGAGCTCTGCCTCCTGTTCCGGGGGCCTCCACACCTGCGGGGCCCACACAGGTGTCAGCTCAGAGACTCGGCCACTTTCACTCTAACTCCAGGCAGAGCCGGACACCTCGGCCCCACCTGCACCTCAGGGCCAGTCCCTGACCTTCCCCGGGAGAGACAGGCCTGCTCACCTGGTGTAGTAGAGCCAGGTGAGGACGTAGGTGAGGAGGAAGCCAGCCCCCATGAGGGCCCCTCTGATCAGGGTGAGGACCAGGGGCTCCTCAGTCACAGCTCTGCTGGAGTGCGGGCTGCCTGGGGACGCGGGAGACGGGTGACGTGTTGACCAGGTGTCAGTCCACCCACAGCCCAACACCTGACCAGGCGGCCGCCCCACACCTGTCCTGCACCTCACTCTGCACAGAGAGGCTGAAGGAGACGCTCTGGGAGCCCAGCGGGTGCTGAGCCCGGCAGGTGAACTCCCCTCTACCTCCAGCCCCACATGGGGCAGCTCCAGGAGCCCTGGTGCTGAGGGCTGGAGGGGCTCAGGGCTTGTTCCTCCAGCACCAGCTCAGGTGACACCACCCACTCCCAGGACTCTCCTCTTCCCACCTCCTCCCAGAACCCGCTGTCGGTTCTGTTCAGGCAGGAGATGCAGGACCTGTCCTAGCAATCTCCCCTGTCCCCTCTCAGCCCCACCTTGTCTCTGACCCACTCCTTTCTCCGTGGCCTCTGCCCCCAGCAGACCCTCACCTGGCAGCAGCAGGACAGAGGCGCTATGGGCCCCGTGCACATTCCAGGCCTCACAGCTGAGTCTGAGGTCAGAGCTGAGCCCTGCGCTGAGGCTCAGGGAGCTGTTGGTCCAGGGCCCCTCTGAGCTGGAGGTGACCACGTGGGACGCGTTGCCATGGTTCCCCTCCAGCAGCCCCGCCCCCAGCCGCCAGCGCAGGGAGGGGGCCGGATGGGCCCTGGAGGAGCAGCTGCAGTGCAGACCCTGGTCCTCCCAGGAGCAGGAGGGTCCCAGCAGCTGCGGGGGGTCTGTGGGGGGAGAGGGGAAGGGTCAGCGGTGCCTCTAATCTCCCCAGAACCCAGCTGTCCTGCCCCCTGGGGTCTCCCCACTCACAGCCCATGGAGAGGCTGAGAGAGACACTGTGGGGGCCCAGCGGGTGCCGAGCTTGGCAGGTGAACTCTCCTTCCTGTGCAGGCCCCACGCGAGGCAGCTCCAGGATCGCGGAGCTGGAGAGGGGGGTGGCGTTCAGGCCTGGGGACCCCCGGAACCAGCTCAGCTCGGCAGGGGGGTTGCTGTCAGCCTCACAGAACAGCTTCAAATCCTCGCCTTTCAGGATGGTAAGGGATGTGTTTTGCAGATTCTTAAAGGTTTCTGGGTTTTGAGAGAGAGAGAGACAGAGAGAGAGAGGAGTGTGGAACACAGATGCAGGCACCCACCCACCAGAGGTGTGGGACTCGGGTGATGACTTTCATCCTTGCCCTTCCCATGTCTCATCCCATTCAAACTCCTGCTCCCCCCTCTCTGCCCCACGAGGGCCCCAGGGGCAGGTCCCAGCCCAGAGAGGAGGGGTTTTTTCCTACCTGTGTTGTTTCTGAAGGAGACACCTATGGTGAGGTTCCGAGGGGCATCTGGGATAGAAAGACAGGGCCCCACTTTACATGGAAGTCACCCCAGCCCCAAGGAGGGGCGATGGGAACTGGGAAGGGGGTAGAGCTGTCCTTCTGGCCCCTCCCCACCTACAAGCACATCCATGCCCGGGTGTTCTCCAGTTAGCTCAGCCTCCTGCACACACACACACACACACACACACACACACACACACACACAGAGGCCACTCCACTCTGCCCCATGACCCAGCTCCCCCTCCAACACTCACAGGAGACATTGAGCCGGATGGTTCTCTGTGTGGTCCACCGAGACCCTTCCCGTTTCACCTGACAGGTGAGGCTGGTGCCATGGTCCTGGGGCCTCGGGCTGAAGGTGAGCACCGAGGAGCGGAGGATCTGGGGGTTCAGCGAGTCCACAGCGGCTCCCGCCCAGGAGAAGGTGAGAGGTCGTCCCCCTTCGCAGGCCCCTGGCAGGCTGCAGGCCAGCTGTGTGGGGCGGCCGGACTCCAGAGGCTCCCGTACATGGATGTGGGGTTTGTCTGTCAGGGCTGCGGGAGAGAAAGGCAGGTGCCGGGGCTTCATGGGTGGGGACTCAGAGCGGGACCCTGAAGAGGCCCTGCCTCGGGCTGAGCTCACCCAGGCCCTGTGTCTCTGCCCACCACCCAGGGCCCACGGCCTGGACAGGGAGTGTCCAGTGTCCTGTTCCTGCTCTAAGAGGGGATTCCATGACCCTGGGTCCTCCTGGGCCCATGCCGTACCTGTTACCTGCAAATGCAGCATCTTTTTTGGGTATTTACTATCTTGGCTCAGATATCCAGGATGTCCTCTGGACACTTGGAGGAAGTAATGTCCTGAGTCACTCCTCCTGGCGTCTCTGATTTGCAGGGAACAGTTGGTGGTCCTGAAGTCAGCAAGGAGGAAGCGGCCTTTGGTCTCTGTCTTCCCTGGTAAACGTGGGTTGTTCGAGGCCACAGGATGGTTTGTGTTGTCCCCGTTCCGGTACCAGTAGGTGTAGAATTTGGTAGAGAAAGACCGTGAACTCCCAGGATAGGAGAGGGAGCAGGGCAGGAGGACACACAGACCCTCCTGCACAGTCACCGATTGCTGCACTCGGAGCACATAGCTTCGCTGCTGCAGGGACCCTGGGAGAGGGGGACTGAGGCTCAGATGCAGCCCTCGCCCCTCCCCCACCAGCCTTGCCCCCCTCCCTCAGCCACTCACCCCCCCACAGCAGGGGCAGCAACAGCAGGGGCACCATGTCTGCCTCTGGCAGGGCAGAGCGGGTCCAGGTCCCTGTGTCAGGGAGCGAAGTGCCCAGCTTTGGGGTGGGGCCTAGGACACCCCAACAGGAAGCTCTGGGGGAGATATTGTGGCCAGGCTGGAAGGGGAATTTGGCCTCCCCAGGATGTGGGGGGGTGTGTAACTGAGAAACCTTCCTGTCTCCCCTCCCCCCACCCCATGACCCTGCAGGTAAATGTACTGAGGGCCTGAGAGGCTGTGTGGTGTGTCCAGATGTGAATCTGACAGTGACCCCCTTACAGAGGATGTGTAAGTGGGGAGGGAGGTCGCCCAGGGGCCAGCACACTCAGAGCTGGTCCTGGGGACTCGGGGTGGGGTCAGGGGCGACCTGCCCTCCAGCAGGAACTGTTGAACATTCTGGAAAAGGATCATTTTAATATTTTTTTAGACCAAGTGGGAGCAAAAGAGAAAGGAATTTAGACCCAAGTCCAGTGGAGGGTGGAACCCAAGGGGCAAAGCTGAGTATTAAAGGCCTTGGCTCTGAGGGCTTCTTGGGGACCTGGACGCACCTGTGCTGGCTCGAGGGTCTGAGTGTCTGAGGGACAGCGAGGGCCCACAAGCCCCATCGGAAACGGATGCCCCATTTGGTGGGACCTCAGCACAGCAGCAACGCTGTCGCCTGAAAGTTCATGAGAATCCTCCTTCCTGGCCCCTCATCGCTGGGTCCCTTTTCACAGCCCCACCCAGGCTGATGGGAAGTGTTCTCTTTCTGCTCCATCTGTGTCCCAACCCGGGCATCACAAACCCTGACATTCCATTCCCGCTGCTGGAGCACATAGTGGGGCTTCTGTGTGCCTCGCTGCCCTTGACTGATGGGATCTCAAGGGAGGCACCAGTGAGCGCGGGGGGATGTCAAAGGCCTTCAGGATAACATCACAGTCAGCTAGGGTTGCAGGAGGCTCCCCTGGCAGGATAGGGGGTGAGTTCAGCAAGCTCCACACCTAACGTAGCAGCACTGGTCGGTCGAGTCTGCTCTTCTCCCTCCTCCGGAAGCACAAGCAGGATGTGGGGGTGGGGGGGTCTGATGGTTTGGTGGTCTGATGGTCTGAGGGAGCCATCGTCCGTTGCCATGGTTCCCCACCCTCAGCCGCCAGGGCAAGCACAATAACTAAAAGCTATGGAAATTCCAAAGAAAATAAAGCTGACTTTCTCCATCAAGGATTGTGTCTATATAGGAAAATCCACAGGTACATACAGATACATGTAGGGGCTTGAGAAGAGAGTCAGCAAGGTTTCTAGAGACAAAATCACATTGAAAAACTCAAATGCATCCGTATAGCACAGTGACCAACAAAAAACAGCATGGTATAAAGATGTCATGGTCACATCAAAACTTACGATGTTCCTGGAACATTCAGAGATGCACATCACAAAAATACACTATGCGCTACCTCAAAGGAGGAAATGATACATCTGTTTGGGAGGACTTTACAGGTGGAAATAGATAGCCCTGGCCGGATGGCTCTGTTGGTGGAAGCATCCTCCCTACAGCACATTGGTTGCAGGTTCAATTCCAGGTTGCAGTGGTTCTCAACCTTCTGGCCCTTTAAATACAGTTCCTCATGTTGTGACCCAACCATAAAATTATTTCCATTGCTACTTCATAACTGTAATGTTGCTACTGTTATGAATCGTAATGTAAACATCTGATATGCAGGATGGTCTTAGGCGACCCCTGTGAAAGGGTCGTTCGACTGCCAAAGGGGCCTAGGGGGGCAGGCTCTGCAAAGAGGGGACCCCAGGACCTGTTTATTGACCCAGACACTCTGCTTTGAGTCGGTTTTTCAATTTCTGCAGAATTGCCAAACAGGCCCCTTAGACAGCCCTTCTCTCAAAGCAAGTCATCTATTCACCGCGTTTCCAATAGAGGGCCAGGAAGGATAGGGTGGGGAGGGCAGCCACTGGCCGGCTTCCAGGGACCCAGGAGCGCGTGGCACCGACACATGGAGTCACCCAAAGTCAGGAAGTGACTGGCGGGCCAAAGTCAGGAAGTGACTGGCGGGAGAGAGACAGACACCTTACTCGTTCTCTTCTGTAGGAGGCAGCACTGCCTCTGCGTCTCCTTGGCCTAAAAACCAGGTGCGTGTGTGTGTGTGTGTGTGTGTGTGTGTGTGTGTGTGTGTGTGTGTGTGTTTTGTTTGTTTGTTTGTTTTTAGAAAGAGAGGATGCATCAAGAAACCCTGATGGGAGAAATTTATTTTATTTTATTATTTTTTAAAAATATATATTTTATTGATTTTTACAGAGAGGAAGGGGGAGGGATAGAGAGTTAGAAACATCAATGCGAGAGAAACATCAATCAGCTGCCTCCTGCACACCCCCCACTGGGGATGTGCACGCAACCAAGGCACATGCCCTTGACCAGATCAAACCCAGGACCCTTCAGTCCGCAGGCCGACACTCTATCCACTGAGCCAAACCAGTCAGGGCATGAAGTTCCCTTTTAGAAAGCTCTGGGTGGCCTAGATAACTGATCACTTGAGTGACCCTGCTTTTCCCCTCCTGAACTTCCATTCCTGCTCCTATGTTTGAAGTTCACCAACAGAGAACCTGCAACACCCTGGGCACCACCACCTCCACCCCAATAGAGGCTGGACACTGGGTCCTTTCTGTGTCTGTACCTGCCAAGTGGCCCTCGGTGTGTTGTGTGTCCTCCGGGACTTGTACGTACAGTTGTCCCCCTTCGCCCCGGGAGCTATGTCCCAAGACGCCCAGTGGATGCTTTAAATCACAGATAGTACCAAACCTTATATATAGTATGGGTTTTCCCCTTATACACACCAAGGATAAATTTTGATGAGTAAATTAGAGATGGACAACTAATAATATAATAGAAGAATTAAAACAAATATGCTGTACTGAAAGTTATGTGAATGTGGTCTCTCCCTCTCTCAACATATCCCCTGGTACAGTACTCACCTCCTGCCTGCGCTGATGGGAGATGACACCCAGTGCCCCCATGATGGGCTGAAGGGTGGTGAATGACAACACAAGCACCACAACATCACAGCAGTTGATCTGATAACATAGACGGCTTCTAAGTGACTAACGAGTGGGTGGTGTATACAGTGTGGAGACACTGGGCAAAGGCATGGTTCACCTCTTGGCAGGACAGACCGGAAGCACTAGAGTCATCAGACGATTCAGAACATTTAAAAACTTACAAATTGTTTATTTCTGCAATTTGTTATTTAGTATTTTCAGTCCATGGTTGACCACAGGTAACAGGAACCACGGAAAGCAAAACTGGGGGGAAAGTAGGGAGAGAACCACTGAAACAAACCTGTGTTTTCAATGTTCCTTTATTGTGTGGCTTAACTGTGGCTTAAAATCATAGTAAGAACCACCAGGGCTGGTCCAGCCACAACACTGGCTCTGGTGGCCACAGTCGTATGGGCCCAGGTGACTGTCCCAGTGAACAAAACAAGCACCAAACCCACGTAAGTTATGCCCTAAACGTTAGAGAGTGGCCCCAAGGAAAGAAGTGGACATTTACACGGTGGGACTAGGAAGGCATTGGCCCCCCACACCCACGACACAAACCCCACTGTCAGTGTGGTAAGAAGTTGACTTGTGACTCTTGCTTAACACCAGGTTAAACCATTGTGCTCAAGTCTTGTGCTGAAAAATAACAAAATCCTTTGGGGGTTAAAAAAAAGTGAATAGAAAAAATAAAATCCCTCATTTTAAAGGTATAGAATAACTGAGTGAAAAAATAAATAGGACCTTACTAGGATGGAATTTTGAACAAGCTTGGATGCAGACAATTAGGTAGAATATCGAAGCCAAAAATAACTCCCCACAGGCATTGCCCATACGGATCATGTGAGCTTTGGTTTGTGGCCTCTGTGGCCTGGAGATGAGAGCCATGACAGGCCCAGTTGAGGCGGGCAGTTTCAAAGGAGGCCACTCCCACGTTGAGGTTGAATAAGGGTAAGGGTGAACCAAAGAAAACCAAAGACAAGAGGAAAATCTGGACAGCAGCCAGAGAGGAAAGGACAGATTACATTCAAAAGAAGAGCCGTGGCCGGAACTGGTTTGGCTCAGTGGATAGAGCGTCAGCCTGCGGACTGAAAGGTCCCGGGTTTGATTCCCGTCAAGGGCATGTACCTGGGTTGCGGACACATCCCCTGGTAGGCGGCGTTCAGGAGGCAGCCAATCAATGATTCGCTCTCATCATCGATGTCTCCATCTCTCTCTCCCTCTCCCTTCCCCTTGAAATCAATAAAAATGTGGAAGAAGAAGAGGAAGAATCTCAGGGGGCCAGAAATGAGGTCTTGCCAAGGAGGAGAGGCCCCGTAAACATCACCATCTTGTGGTTAGGACTGAAAATAGATGAGACGCAATAGGGCCAGAAACTGGGTTTTGAATTCCCTCAATGCCTGATGGGATTGTAGTGACCCACCTGCTACCGGCCACAGTAACTATACCTGGAGGAGGAGAATCCTACCCGGGGTCTACACTGTGGTCTGTATAAATTGTCATTGCGCTTCAGACGGGGTGCGATCCGGGAGACAGCCACCCAGAGAACGATGAGAAGACGGGATTTATTAGAAAACCCAGACCTTAGACCATGTGCCAGGAGCCAGGAAGTGCTGTTCTGGAGGGCGCGGGAGGGTGAGAGACAGCGTCACGGAGCAGCTCACCTGCAGCACAGGTGCAGGTGGACGTGAGAGCCGGCCCATCCCGTCTCTCAAACCCCATCGCCTGTCTTCTTCCTGCTCTGCCTGGGGCTGCTCATCCAGCCGTTAATGTTAATCGGGCCGCAAGGTCTCCTCACGCTTCAGGAATGAGTCCCAGACTTCTCCCCCCACCCCACCCCCACCCCCAGGGGCTGTGATGCCTCTGGCCAGTACCGAGCTCTGAGCGAGGTCTCATTGGCCTCTGCGCTTGACCACTGCGTACTCCTGGGTGCTGGTGGCCTCCTGGTCCCGAGGCTCCCGTGGCTTCAGCCCCTCAAAGGTGAGGTTGGCGTAGTAGAGCTCCTGCTGCTCCCCCGACAGAGGGCCCTTCTCAGCAGGTGAGGCTTGGTCTGGGGGCCCGTCCGGCGGGAGGTTTTTCTGGGAGCCCTGAGTGAAGGGGAGAGAAGGGTGTCCGAGAGGCATGAGGCAGACATGGTCCCAAAGAAAAGTGGGGCTGATGGGACAGTTTTTTCCTTCATCTTCTTATTGCACAGACACTTCTCATAGACTCGACTATTTGCACATTCATTTTAAAATTTTTCTTTTGTTTGTTTTTGGGGGTTTTGTTCTTTTGGTGCAAAAAGAAAGAGACTTATTCAGGTGCTGGGGCCTAGGAGAATGGTGGACTTTCATCTCAAAGACCATCCTCCTTCCTACTGAAGCCTGCTGTTCTTTTCTTTTTAATTTTTTTTTATTTTTTGAGACTATTGCAGATGTTGACTAGACATATCAAGGGCCTACTGATCATATTCCATTCCCTCAGAAACCCAGTAAGCCTGATACTCTCATTATCCCCATTTACAGATAGAGAAGCTGCAATAAAGGGAGGTGAAGTGAATGCCCACAATGGGAAGGAAGTAATAGTTTGGGGGAGATGGTTCTGGCAGGCTGTGCCTAACAGAGAGGTGAGGTGGGCTCAGTGGTCAGTGTGGCTGGGGCAGGAGGCTGACCATGGGTTCCGGGAAATGAAGGGGAAGTCAACTCCCAGCTGCCTGTCCAGCTGACCGCAGGGGAGCTCAGTGTGGACTCCTTAATGGACATGCCCAGCCCCCCGCCACCCCCCCCCACACACACACACGGCATGAGAAGACACCCCGTCACTCACCCAGGTGACTGTGCCCATCACAGGGTCTTCATCATTCGTGACCTTTGGTCTCCCGGCTGCTTGCCTCCTGCGGGCTTTCACTCTAAGGGAAGAAGTCAGCAGCCAGAATGGCTCAGGCACAGGGGGGCACCTGTCCCCACTCCCTGATGGACAACGGAGGCATCCAAACCCTGAGGCCAGCCTCAGACCCTCCTGACATGCAGGTGAGGGTCCCATCCCCCTGGATGCCCAGGGGTTTGGCCAGGACTGAATGTTCATCACCGAGGCCCCTCTCACACGCAGACTTGTGCACAAGCCATCATCAATGTGATTCATGGCAGCCAAAACGTCCAAGCAACCCAATGTCCGTCAGTGAAGGAACGGACAAATCAGATATGCCCCATCCAAACCATGGAATATATTTCTAAATAAAAAGCAATGCAGAGCTGACACATGAACCTTGAAAATCTCAGGCTACAGGAAAGAAGTCAGTCACGGTAAACATGTATTATATCATGGCATTTCTATGAAATGTCAGAATGGGAAAATCTAGAGAAACAGGACATACTGGTTGTCTGGGGCTGGGGGAGGATGGAAGCAGGAGGACAATACAGGGATGTGGAGTTCCTCTCTCTCTCTCTCTCTCTCTCTCTCTCAGCGAATAAAAAGGTTTCAAACTTGACCGTGGTGATGGGTGCACAGCTGTGTGACTGAAGGAAAAGCCATTGAATCGGACACTTTAAATACATCCGAGTTTTACCTCAATAAAGCTATTACCGGCCCCCCCACCCCACCCCAGCCTCGCCTCTGGATAAGCTTTATGTTGGTGAAATTCTCTGACCTCTTTCAAACCCCTAGGACCCGGCTCCCTGCCCCGGAGGCTCACATGCAAAAGAAGATGAGACACAAGCACAGGGACAGCAGGGCCATGGCACCAGCACCTCCGAGAGCCGCAGGAACCACTCCCGCCTGGGGCACCGCCTTCCCTGCAGAGGAGAGGGGGGTGAGACATCCACGCCCGGGCCTCGGTCTCTCCTCTTCCCCCTCCTACCAGAACACGGTGTAGGTTCTGTCCAACCAGAGCCCAACTTAGCTCAGTGGATAAGCATCCACCTGTGAACCAGGAGATTCTGGTTCCATCCCTGGTCAAGGGCACATGCCCGTGTTGCGGGCTCGATCCCCTGTAGGGGGCGTGCAGGAGGCAGCCGATCAATGATTCTCTCTCCCTCTCCTTTTCTGAAATCAATCAAAATATTTGGGGGCTAGGGGGAACAAGAGATGGAGGGCCCTGTCCTAGCAATCACTCCTGTCCCCGCGCAGCCCCCACCCCCAGACCCACCCTCTCTCTGACCCACTCCTTTCTCCGTGGCCTCTGCCCCCAGCAGGCCCTGATCTGGCAGCAGCAGGACAGAGACGCTCTGGGCCCCCTGCACATTCCAGGCCTCACAGCTGAGTCTGAGGTCAGGGCTGAGCCCCTCCTTGAGGCTCAGGGAGCTGTTGGTCCAGGGCCCCTCTGAGCTGGAGGTGACCACGTGGGAGGCGTTGCCATGGTTCCCCTCCAGCAGCCCCGCCCCCAGCCGCCAGCGCAGGGAGGGGGCCGGCTGGGCCCTGGAGGAGCAGCTGCAGTGCAGACCCTGGTCCCCCCAGGAGCAGGTGGGTCCCAGCAGCTGCGGGGGGTCTGTGGGGAGCGAGGAGAAGGGTCGGCGGTGCCTCTAATCTCCCCAGAACCCAGCTGTCCTGCCCCCCGGGGTCTCCCCACTCACAGACCACAGAGAGGCTGAGAGAGACACTGTGGGAGCCCAGCGGGTGCCGAGCTTGGCAGGTGAACTCTCCTTCCTGTGCAGGCCCCACGCGAGGCAGCTCCAGGATCGCGGTGCTGGAGAGGGGGGTGGCGTTCAGGCCTGGGGACCCCCGGAACCAGCTCAGCTCGGCAGGGGGGTTGCTGTCAGCCTCACAGCGCAGCCTCAGGGCCTCTCCCTCCAGGATGTGAAGGGATGTGGTTTGCAGAATCTTGAAGACTTCGGAGAGAACGGTTATGAGGGGTTACAAGGGGAGAGAGAGAGAGAGAGAGAGAGAGAGAGAGAGAGAGGGAGAGGGAGAGAGGTGTGTGTTTGTGGAACACAGATGCAGGCATCCACCCACCAGAGGTGAGGGACTCGGGTGATGCCTTTCATCCCTGCCCTTCCCATGTCTCATCCCATTCAAACTCCCGCTCCTCCCTCTGCCCCACCAGCGCTCAGGGCAGGTCCCAGCCCAGAGAGGAGGGGTTCGTTCCTACCTGTGTTGTTTTTGAAAGAGACGCCTATGATGAGTTTCCGAGGGGCATCTGGGATAGAAAGGCAGGGCCCCCCCTTCAGATGAATGTCACCCCAATCGCCAGGAGGAGCGGTGGGAACACTCCCCACCTACACACAGCTCAATGGGTGAGTGCTCTCAGGTTAGCTCAGCCTCTTACACACACACAGACACACACAGACACACACACAGACACACACACACGCCACCTCACTGTCCCCATGGACCCAGCCCGCCCTCCAACACTCACAGGAGACATTGAGCCGGATGGTTCTCTGCGTGGCCACCCAAGATCCTTGGAGTTTCACCTGACAGGTGAGGCTGGTGCCATGGTCCCGGGGCCTCGGGGTGAAGGTGAGCACCGAGGAGCGGAGGGTCTGGGGGTCCAGCGAGTCCACAGAGGCTCCCGCCCAGGAGAAGGTGAGAGGTCGTCCCCCTTCGCAGGCCCCTGGCAGGCTGCAGGCCAGCTGTGTGGGGTGGCCGGACTCCAGAGGCTCCCGTACACGGATGTGGGGTTTCTCTGTCAGGGCTGCAGGGGAGAAAGGCAGGTGCCTGGGCTCCAGGGGTGGGGACTCAGAGCGGGACCCTGAGAGAGGCCCTGCCTCGGACTGAGCTCACCCAGGCCCTGTGTCTCTTCCCACCACCCAGGGCCCATGGCCTGGACAGGGAGTGTCCAGTGTCCTGTTCCTGCTCTAAGACGGGTCCCATGTCCCTGATCCTCTCCGGGACCCATGCCGTACCTGTCACCTTCAAATCCAGCTTCTTCATTATGTAATTATATCTCACAGAATCTCCTCTCTCCACTCGGAAGACGTAACGTCCTGTGTCACTCCTCCTGGCGTCTCTGATGTCCAGGGAACAGTTGTTGGTCGTGGGATCCGCGAGGAGGAAGCGGCCTTGGGTCAAGCTATTCACTGTTTTATTCCGGTTGCTCGAGGCCACAGGAGGAGCAGAGTTTGTGTTGTCCCCGTCCCGGTACCAGTAGGTGTAGAGTTCACTAGGGGAAGACCACGGACTCCACGGGTAGGAGAAGGAGCAGGGCACGTGGACACACAGACCCTCCTGCACCGTCACTGATTCCTGCACTCGGAGCTCATAGTCTGGCTGCTGCTGCTTCTGCAGGGACCCTGGGGGTGGGGGACTGAGGCTCAGATGCAGCCCTCGCCCCTCCCCCACCTGCCCTGCCCCCGTCACTAGCCACTCACCCCCCCACAGCAGGGGCAGCAGCAGCAGGGGCACCATGTCTGCCTCTGGCAGGACAGAGCGGGTCCAGGTCCCTGTGTCAGGGAGCGAAGTGCCCAGCTCTGGGGTGGGGCCTAGGACACCCCAACAGGAAGCCTTGGGGGAGAGACAGTGACCAGGCTGGAAGGGGAACTTGGCCTCCACAGGAGTTGGGGGGGTGCCTGAGAAATCTTTCTGTCTCCCCTCCCCCACCCCCCCACTGCCCCCATGACCCTGCGGGTAAATGCACTGAGCCCCTGGGAGGCTGAGTGGCTTGTCCAGAAAGTGACCCCCTTACAGAGGAGGTGTAAGTGGGGAGGGAGGTCGCCCAGGGGCCAGCACACTCAGAGCTGGTCCTGGGGACTCGGGGGTGGGGGGGATGGAGGACCTGCCCTCCAGCTAAAACTGTTGAACATTCTGGAAAAGGGTAATTGTAATATTGTTTTAGACCAAATGGGAGCAAAAGAGACAGGAATTTAGACCAAAGTCCAGTGGAGGGTGGAACCCAGGGGCAGAGCTGAGTGGTAAAGGCCTTGGCTCTGAGCTCTTCTTGGGGACGTGGGACATACCTGTGCTGGCTCCAGGGTCTGAGTGTCTGAGGGACAGCACAAGCCCCATCAGAAACGGACGCCCCATTTGGCGGGACTCAGCCACAAGGTATAGACAGAAATGCAGAAGAGGAAATTTCCACATAAGCTGTGCCAGATAAGATGGGCCTTAGGGACAGAGAAGGGGCCAGGCTGACTGACCTCAGAGCACAAGGCCCATCCTAAAGCAACCCACACGAAAGAAATGGGGGAAGGAAGCAACTATTTCACATTCAAGGGGGGCCACAGAATCCATCCCAGAGACAGAACTCTGTATGTGTATGTGTGTGTGTGTGCACATGTGTGTGTATGTGTGTGTGTGTGTGTGTGTATGCATGCGCTATTTACAAACAAACTAATGACTAAACTTTTGTGGAGGTGAGACTCACATGACATAAAATTTTCAATGCTAATTTGGAGTGTGTGACCTTCGGAGCTGCTTATCACTACACTTCCCCCATCACTTTCTGTACCGCGGGCCTACTATGCGCCTTCCCCATACCTTCCTTGTCCGTGTAGGAATCTGATGTGGGGTTTTGAATATTAATGCCCTGATGCACCAACCAAAACCCCCACAGGCCTAAGGAGTTCTTTCATGGTTCTGTAGGATTGCTGATGTTGCGTCTCTCTTCATGACTTTGTTGGCCATTTTTCCATTATCTTTGGAGAAATGGCTATTCAAGGTTTTAGCCATTTCTTCAATTGTGTTATTTGGGTTTCTTATGTTGTCGTGTGTGAGTTTGTAATAGATGCTGGATATTAACTCCTGCACACATACAGTTCCTCTCCCATCCTGTAGGTGGCCTCTGGAGTCTGGTGAGAGCGTCCTTTGTGCTTCAGGTTTTGAAGTTGGTTCAGTCCCACTCGTCTATGTTTGCTTCCCTTGTCTGTGCTTTCGATGTAAATATGCAGGAAATCATTGCAAAACCCAATGTGCTGGGATTTCCCCCTATGTTTCCCTCTGAGAGTTTATAGTGGTTGGTATTATATTTAGGTCTTTAATACATTTTTGCACAGAGGAGAGTGATTCTGTGATGGAAACCCAGAACTGCATGAGAGGAACAACTGTGAGGGGTATTTTTCAAAATAGTCATTGTTTTCCTGCAGTGTGTTCTCACAGTGGGGTCTGAAGACGCTGAACTCACAGAAAGAGAGTAGACGGTGATGCAGGGGCTGGGGGTGGGGAAATGGGGAGATGTTGGTCAAGGGTAGCTTTCAGCTACAAGAGGAACAATTCCTGGGGATGTACTGGACAGCATGGCAAGTACAATTAACAGGATTGTATTATGTACCTGAAAGTTGTTATGGTTACACATCATTCGTGTTATAACCATAACAATGGTAATTACATGAGAGGATGGAAATGTTGATGAACCTTATTGTGGTAATCACTTCACTATGTAGGTGCATCAAATATGTACATTGCACACCTTAAACCTGCATATACTCTATATCAAAAATATCTCAATTAATCTGGAAATAAAATAATTGTTTACATCCAAGTAATTATTAATGTTCTCTAAAGTTTATCAAATTTATAGCTGTTAGCTATATGACAATAACGATACAAAATGGTGAGAGTATAGGTGGATGTGTCTTAAATGTTGAAATTTTTTATTGTTATAGAATACATATAGTCCAGCCAGTGTGGCTGAGGGGTTAAGCATCAATCTATGAACCAAGAGGTCAGGGTTCGACTCCCGGTCAGGGCACAAGCCTGTGTGAACGGCTTCATCCCCAGTAGGGGACGTGGAGGAAACAGGCGATCAATGACTCTCTCATCCTTGATATTTCAATCGCTCTCTCTCCCTCCAAAATCCTATCAGAAATCAATACAAATATTTTTAAAAATAAGAAGAGATATAAATACCAATTGAAGAATAATTACAATGAATACACAAAATCCCTTACTTGAAACAGCTTCAACAACAGCAACAACAAAAAGAGAAGATCAAGATACAATTAGATGCAAGAAACTCCCACCCACACTAAATAGTAAAATCAATTGTCACGTGATATCACAGAAACGTTCTCATTTATGATTAAATGCTGGGATGTGTTATGACAATAATTCTGAGGTTGGCGTCTATGCACAGGGAGAGGAGAGCGGCTCCTAACTCTACTGTGTATCAGCACCTACAGATGGGAGACCAGAAGCTCAGGTGGTGACCAGGTAACTTGAGGGCAAGCGGAGGATAAGGGGCCAACTTCAGTCCCTCTCTGGGCCTGAGAATGGAGAGAGAGGAGCAGGGGGTGGGGGGATGAGTGGGCAGAACCAACGGAGAGAAAGAAAGAGGCTGGGAGGGGAACAAGTCAAATGGGAGAAGCACAGGCAGAAACACGGGGGCCGTCAGTGGGTGTGGATTATTGTTTATTTCTGTATATTAGGATGTTTTGAGCCATTAAACAGATTGAAAGCCAAGGAGACACAGGGCCTCCCAGGGCAGGCCCATTCTCAGAGACAGCAAAGAATTTCAGATGCAAACCAATCCAACCTGAGCCCGTATTCCCAGCCTCCCCACCTGCCCCCAATCACCCAGGACCTGGGACCAGACACAGAGAGACCACGCCCACAGGCCCATCCCCTCCACTGACACACACCAGCTGGTCCTGAACTGCTCACCCTGCCCTGCCTTGCGTTTCCCATGGGAACCCCAATCAAGGCCTTCGCTAGGCTGCCCTGCACCTGCATCTGCTTCCTGAGGAAATCCGGGGCTTCCCGGGCACAGCGGCCCCTCCTCTCAGGAGGTGAAAGGAGGAAAAGTCTTCTCTCCATGGCATTGAGTCCCCTTGTGGTCACTCAGTCACTTCCACACACTGAAACCCCAGGGGCACATTGGAGGCAGGTGAGTCAAGAGCTTCCAGGGAGAAGGTGACATTGACGTCCCAGGACGGTCCCTCTAGCCTGGTGTCCACACCTCAGTCCCATCTTGAGAGGAAGGGAGGATCCATCAGGAGCTCTGCCTCCTGTTCCGGGGGCCTCCACACCTGCGGGGCCCACACAGGTGTCAGCTCAGAGACTCGGCCACTTTGGCTCTAACTCCAGGCAGAGCCGGACAGCGCAGCCCCCACCTGCACCTCAGGGCCCATCCCTGACCTTCCCCGGGA